AGAGTTTGGGGGCAATTGCTACTGTTTGCCCATCCCGCAGCACATGGGTTCCTCTGCCATAGGGCCTGACAAGGAGCACAAACGCCCTTCCCTGGGGGTGCAGGAGGGCACACTGGGGGTGTGATAGTTGCTGTTCTGTGAGGAATAAGAGCCCAGCCTGTGCTGTCTCGGCGGGGCTGAGCAAAGGCAAGGTGGAGTTTGTTCCTTTCTCTGGGCCCTGGCACTGGCCTAGCTTATGCACTCAGCTCACAGTCAGCACAACGCAATGGGACAGGCTCCCTCTGTATGACTGCCCCAGAGTGCTACTCACACGGAGCTCATGGATCCCGCCTTAAGGAGGGATCCATTCAGGGGGAGCTGGGACCTTCTCACACCTCAACTGAGTGGGAACCATCTGACCACTTCTCATGGCAGAGCCCAGGTAGCACACGGCGCCGCAGGAAATGGACTGGCAGTGCGGTACCAGGGGCTCTTCTCTCTGCATCTTCATAGAAGCAACCTCCCAGCATAATCCTAGGGCTGTGGTGCACCTACTGCTGCTCTCTCTCCAATGACAGGTTTCAGAGTAGCAGCCGTGTTAGTCTGTATCCTCAAAAAGAACAGGAGTACTGGTGGCACCTTAGAGACTAACACATTTATTAGAGCATAAGCTTTTGTGGGCTATCCGAAGAAGTGGGCTGTAGCCCACGAAAGCTTATGCTCTAATAAATTTGTTAGTCTCTAAGGTGCCACCAGTACTCCTGTTCTCTCCAATGAGGACTTCATTGCCTGTGGGCTTAAAGAGTCCCTCACATTTTCCAACACCCACTGTCATAAGTCAGGTTGCTGGGTTCTGTCTCCTGTGACTCCCTGCCATTTCATCCGGGGAATTAATCTGCATTCTCACAGTCAGAGTTACTGTGTCATGTCCCACCCCAGAGGTGGCTGCATTTCAGGGCTAGCTGACAGCTCCCTGCCATGGAAACAAAAACTGGATATGAACGCCCTGTTTTGCCTTTGCTGTCCACTCTATTGTGTGCTCTGGGATCTTCGCTGCGGAGTGGCAGGCAGGTCGGGGCTGGAAGGCCCTTGGGTAGAAGCTCCTCCCCAGAGCTAGCCTTTCTTGGGGATGCATCTGTTTGGGGGGCTTCTGACCATTCCTCGGGATCCTTGTGGCCCTGAGCAGGGTTCCTGCTGGAGTGAGATCCCTGCACTCGCTTGTGTCCCCAGCCAGATCTCGTGGAGCGCCTGGTGTCTGTAGACATTAGTCCCACAGAGAGCGTGGCTGTGAAAGATTTCCCGGCCTACATCTCTGCCATGAGGAGAGTGAGCATCCCAAATGGAATCCCCCGCTCCACAGCACGCCGGCTGGCAGAGGATCAGCTGCGTCCAGCCATCCAGGTACGGTAGCCCACGAGGAGCCCTCCCCTCTCCCAGAGTGGGAGCACACTGCCCCAGAGCCGCCAGCCCCAGACGGCGCTTTTCCATCCCCATGCCCTTAGTCCTGGCCCTGATGCCTGTCTGACCCTCAGCAGGGCCCACACTGGGGCTTGGCACTGTGGCCAGCGCATCTGTCGTGGTGGTGGTGTGGGGGGTGCTGCTGTGCTGGAGCAGACACATGACACCTGGCTTGCCAGGTCTGCTGCTGCAGGTGTGTGATGGAGTGTCCTTGGGCATCCCTGGCTGGCATGTGTGTGTGCACTGTGACAAATGGACATGCTTTACCCTTGCTGCAGGTGTCGGCGGTAAGGCAGTTCCTGCTCACCAACCTGGTGGAGGCCGAGGGCCGTTACATGTGGCGGGTGAACCTGGAGGCCATTTCCCACCATATGGCCAATATCGTGGGCTTCCCTGTGTTCCATGCCCCTTACCCAGGACCCACGCTCTTCCTAGCGGGATCTGACTCGCCCTATGTCAGGTGAGTCCTGGGACTCTTGTGGCTCTGAGACCCACAGCTTGTTCCCTCTCACTCTGCTGCCACATGTACTGAGGGGTGGAGTGAGCCCTGGGCTCCCTGAGTGGAGGGATGTGTGTATGGGGGGATCCCCCCAGAGTGAGCCCTGGGCTGACCGTGTTTGGGGGGGGAGGGGGATCCCAGCGTGAGCCCTGGGCTGACCGTGTTGCGGGGGGGATCCCGAGCGTGAGCCCTGGGCTGACCGTGTTGCGGGGGGGATCCCAGCGTGAGCCCTAGGCTGACCGTGTTTGGGCGGGGGGATCCCAGCGTGAGCCCT